GGAATAAGAGAATAAGATTTATGGGAGGTGTGGAGGTATGCTGGGAGCCCCCTTTGTAAGAGGCCTTTTGACACTCCCTCCTTATACATAATCTTCCTTTAAGTCCCAGCTAAAACCAATCCCTATAAATCAGACTTTTCTGGCATTCGCGTACACCATTTATTTATTTATTTGGGACTTGCCCGTGGTTCTGCCAATGGGAGTGGGGATGGAGGAGTTTTCACACCCACCTCAGATGCTTGAGGCCTTGTTTGGCAGCACATCCAGTCTCAGGCAGTGTGAGGGTTGTGAGAGGAAGGGAAGAGGGGAGACAGAACAGGCCTAGACTCCCTCCCGCCAGCCCTCATCATCAAGGAGAACAGATTGACCCCATCACTCACGCTGCTGCCGCTACCCCCGGTGCCCCCAGGACCCTCAACGCCCTGGTCACTCTTCTGCTCCACAGCAAGCTCTGCCTCCAGGATCCTGTCCACAGGCATCTCCTCAGGGGCTCCCCCAGCCCCTTCCCCATCCCCGTCCTTGTCCTTTCCCCGCTGACGCTCCTCCTGTACCGCTGTGGGGAGGGGTGGGGGAGAAAATGGAAAGTCAGCAGCCAGCACAGGGGGGTTCTGAAATTCCCTTGGGGCCTTATCGGGTCTGATGTCCTTGGGAAATACTTAGACAACTTGGGAAACCACTACAAACAGGAGACAGGGAATAGCCTGCAAGAAGGGTCAGGTTAACAGATTAAGATGGGAATAAGAGAATAAAGGAATTAGGGAGGAATTCTCATTTACACAGAGGGCCTACTATGTGCTAAGAAATATGTATGTCCTAACATTCACTCCAGTAAGTTAATGACTCTGTGAACTTCTGTTCCCATTTTTGAAAATGATGAACTTGGGGCTCAAAGAGGTAAAATAGCTTACCTAAGTTCATATAAGGTACAGCAGGTCATACACTTGAATCCAAGCATGCCTCAAGACAAATCTTATGCTCTTCAGGCCCCCCAAAATAGTACAATGAGCACTAGCCTGAGTCTTCAGAGGTGTGCATTCTGATCCTGGCTCTGCAACTTTTTTGGGAAAGCTAGGCCTCAGGCTCATCTTTCCTAAAGGGAGGAGTTGGCCAAGATATTCTCTTAAGTGCCGCTCAGAATTCCAGGAATCAGGGCTAGGAATGTGGCTTAGTGAAGTGCTTGCCTAGCATACGTGAAGCCGGCCCTGGGTTCAATTCCTCAGTACCACATAAACAGAAAAGGCCAGAAGAAATGCTGTCATTCAAGTGGGAGAGCGCTAACCTTGAGCATAAAGAAGCTTGGAGACAATGCTCATGGCCTTGAGTTCAAGCCCCAGGACTGGCAAAAAAAAAAAAGAATTCGTGCTGGAAATGTGGCTTAGTGGCAGAGTGCTTGCCTAGCATGTATGAGAGCCCTGGGTTCAATTCCTCAGTACCACACAAACAGAAAAAGCCAGAAGTTGTACTGTGGCTCAAGTGGTAGAGCACAAGTCTTGAGCAAGGAAAGACTCAGGGCCAGAGCCCAGACCCTGAGTTCAAGCTCCCGGACCAGCAAAAAAAAAGGGGGGGGGGCTGGGAAGGTGGCACAGTGGTAGAGTGCTTGCCTTGCATGCATGAGGCCCTGGGTTCAATTCCTCAGCACCACATAAGCAAAAAGAAAAAAGCTTGAAGTGGCGCTGTGGCTCAAGTGGTAGAGCGCTAGCCTTGAGCTGAAGAGCTGAGGGACAGCGCCCAGGCCCAGAGATCAGGCCCCATGACCGGACCCCATTAAAAAAAAAAAAGATGGAGACATAGAAGAGGGGAGTCCTGAAGTCTCCAGTAAGTCTGTACCTTAAGAGTACAGTGTCTCAAAATTGGAGGAAAGATCATGGAAATCAAACAAGCATGGGATGAGGGAAGGGACTGCTCAGGTTGGAGAAGAGGAGTTTATAGCTAAGAAAAAAGCTATTCTACCCTGAGACCAGACAAGGCTGGGAAAGAATCATAGAAAAGACCACAGAAGCAGAATAAATCATTAAGATGGAAACTCAAAACATCAGAGCAAGGTACCAAGGAAGAATGCTGATAGGCAAGGGGAGAAAAATCAAACATTGCCCCCTGGAGGAAAGAGAAAAACCAGCCCTGCATTCCTGACAAACACACAGACAGGCTATGGGTTCCTTGTGTCTCCTCTCCACCTCCTTGCTATTCCACTAGTGGGGTAGAAGAGGAAAGGCCTGTAGACTCGGGTAGGTCCTTACCCTCCCTCTTCATGCCAGTGGCCAAACACTTCTGATAGCGGCAGTACTGACAACGGTTCCGCTGGCGCTTGTCCACCGTACAGTCTTTGTTGTCCCGGCACGAGTAGGTGAGGTCCTTACGGATGGTGCGCTTAAAGAAGCCCTTGCACCCCTCACAGCTGTAAACCCCATAGTGTTTGCCTACAATGGGGAGAGGAATAGCAAAAATAAATAAGTAAATAAATAGGTTATAGGGAGTCCTCATCACCATGGTCTCTCTCCAGCAAAATCATTCCAGTGTTTGCCAAATACAGAGATGAGGAATGGATAACCCAATGGAGGATAACCCAATCCTCCTCTCCTTACTGTTCAGAAGCCCTAGACAAGCTCCCTTTTCCCTCTAACCACCTCCCACTTCATCCCACATTTGAGTTTCAGGTTTCTTAGTTTCCCTAGGCCTCCCCCAGCTCACAAGCTCTGCCCCAGGCTCAGGAACCCCTAGGAAGCCTAGGTGGTAGTAAATGGCCCAGTCTGTCCTTCTTCCTCTGTGCCTGTGCTCTGGGCCCCATACCTGAGCTTCGGTCCCCGCAGATTGCACATAGCCGTTTGCCAGCCCCAGGGCCACCTGGAGGGGGTGGACAGTGCAGGCCCCGGACCCCTAAGACTGGTGGCTTCACATCTTCAGGGGGGCCAGACCCACCCCCAGGGAGCGACACTGTTGAGTTAATCTGGGATGGGGGAAATAGGGAAGGGACAGGAAGACTCATTGGGAAGATCTCTCAGAAGGAATGAAATCATTCTCTACCACTAGACAGACCCTCTACTAGACACTCCAGAGGGTGTTAGTTATACTGCAGTCTATGTAGAGGACCATCCCCAGAGTACAACCCACAGAGAATAAAGAGTCCCCCCCCCCCGCAAGTTGTATAACTCAGTGGCCCTGAAAGGCGTGTGTCCTGGAAGGACATAAGGGACCAAAGGGGTAGAAAATCACTAACAGATGAAAAGACCATCAAGAATAGTGGAGATATTTTAAAATAGGGTTAGAAAAGAAGCATGCACTAAAGAAAGTCAGTCACCGCAGAAAGGGTAAGGGACCACAGGCCTGCTAGGATTAGAGGACTGAAAGGTCAGTGGGTCATGAGGAAGTTCACACAGGAAAACCAAAGGAATGCAAGTGAGTGAAGAGGCAGTAAGTGGGTCACAACCTCTCACCTGGGGGCTGCTGACAGGCCCGGAAAATCCTGGGGGAGCTGGAGGGGGCAGACCAGGGGACCCCATGGAAGAACTGATGACTGGGAAAGGGGAGCCCAGTGGAGGTGGTGGCATTGGGGGTGGGGGTGCTGAAGGGGGTAAAGGTGGTCCAGGAGGAGAAGGGGGTGGGATTCCCTGGGGAAGGGGATTTGGGGAGGAGCTGTCTGGGCTTCTGGAATCTAAAGGAGAAGGTACAGAGACACACAGAGAGAGGAGAGACAAAAAAGAGAGAATGAGTGTCCGATCATCCAACTGGAGACTTTTAACTCTCTAATCCCTCACCCCACTAGGATCAAATCACCCTCACCCATCTCCAGCTCCAGAAATACCCTGCTGTCAAACAAGTTTAACTCCTATTAAAGAGGGGGTAGTGACTAACGACAAGGGAGGAGGAGAGTTCGGTTGAGGAATATTTCCACGCAAAGGAGCTGAATGAATACCAGGTCACTCCAAGTAGACCTGGTCTCGTGGGTGGGGCAGCACGTGGGGTGGACAAGTCAATCTCTCCATTCCCAGCTTAGAGCCAAGTGGCCCGGGCATGCGTGCAGGACAAACTGACAAGTTGAAACAGACACACACTCCCAGGAGGCTGGCTCTACCTCCCAAGGTCCAGACACCACATCCTGAAAGGGAATCTTGTCCTTCCCCACGCCCCGGCCGGGGGCTAAGGCCCCCGCACCACGGAGAGGGCGGAAGCTCCCCCTCCCCGCTCCGCCCCGGGGGGAGGGCGCTGAGGCCCTCGGGAGGGAGGGGAAGCGTGTTTACAAACAAGGGGGCGGGAGCGCCGGGGCACGCGCCCGCGGAAGGTGGGGGGGGAGGGGTGCAGGTAAGGCGGTCTCCAGTTCGCCCGCGGGTCCGCTAGGACACTCACCCCGCCCGCTGTCGCCCATCCCGTCCCGTCCAGCCTCCCCCGGCTCCGGCTCCGGGGTTTGTTGTTCTCCGGCTGCTGCCGCCGCCGCTGCCGCCGCGGGATCCAGCCAGGGCCGCCGCCGCCGCCACCGGGACGCGACCCCACAATGCATTTCTTTTCTCACCCCCACCGGCCCACACTGCCCTGCGGCATGCCGCTCGGGGAGGAAGGGAGGGCGGGCGGCCCAAGACATGAGTTCTGGCCGAGTGGAGGAAGACCGGAAGAGGTGCCAGGGCTTGCCAAGGAATGACCGGAGGGGGGGCGGGGAGACTAACGGAGCGCGAGGAAGCCCCGGAGGAGAAGAGGCTGTGGCGCGGGCCGGATGGAATTAAGCGCGTCGCTCGGCTCGGAACCAAAATGACAGCGCCGAGGTGGCAGCCATCTTTGTACAGACGGGAAGTCTCGTCGCTAGCTCCCGCCCCCTCGCCTCGTCGCAGGCGGAGGAGGCGGTGCCCTGCCCTCCCCACCCCCCACCCCCCGCCCGCTAGCTGGCCTCGCCCAACCTCCCCTTAAATAACCTCCCCGCCTGCGCATGCGCGCCAGGGCTGGACGGCTTCGCTACCCGCGAAGCCAGTGCTGCCATCTTGGTAAAGGTATGGGGACGGAGCCAGAACGGAACTTCCTGCTCTCGCGCGAACTAGCGGCGTGACTGCCACGTCCGAGCAAGCCGGGAAAGAGAGACTGTCCCGGAGCCGGTGAGAATTCCTTGCTTTTTCCCCGACCTGCCCTTTTCCAGGCCTGCCTTTTCCCCATCTGACAGGCCATAGAGACGAACGCCCAGAGAGTCCATAAAGTGGCCGATCAAAGGCTGAAGCGGTGGTCTGGGGGCCTCGAGGGCCTGCAGACGGGAAAGGGGTTCGGGATAAAGAGAACAATGTGGGTGGGAACGGAGCGGAATGGGGGTGCGGTCCTTTGAGGTACCCGGAGGGCACGAGCAGAGTAAAGCAGACCCCGTGTAGGTAGCGTTGAGGGTCAAGTGGAGTCATTATCTCTGTCCCTCTGGTCAGCGTGATGGCCAGGGGCCTGCGGACCTCCCACTGGGTGGCCGTGGGACTGCTGACCTGGGCCACCCTGGGGCTGCTGGTAGCCGGACACGGGGGTCATGGTGACCTGCACAAGGAGGTGGAAGAGGACTTCCATGGCCACAGACACTCACATGAGGATTTCCACCATGGACACAGCCATGCCCACGGCCACGGCCACACACACGAGAGCATCTGGCATGGGCATACCCACGGTCACGACCATGGACATTCACATGAGGATTTGCACCATGGCCATAGCCATGGCCACTCCCACGGGAGCCTCCACCACAGAGGACATGGACATGACCATGGACATAGCCACGGAAGCTATAGAGAGTCTGGGGTTCCAGACACCAAGCACAACCTGGATACTGTTACCCTCTGGGCCTATGTGAGTCCCCAGGGGATGGGAGAGAGGGACTGGTTTCGGGTTGGTGGAAAACTGTGCAACATTTAATTCCTGATTCTCCTTTATCAGGCACTGGGGGCCACAGTGCTGATTTCTGCCGCTCCATTTTTTGTACTCTTCCTCATCCCAGTGGAATCAAACTCCCCCAGGCATCGATCTCTGCTCCAGATCTTGCTCAGTTTTGCTTCGGGGGGACTCCTAGGTGATGCCTTCCTACACCTTATTCCTCATGCTCTGGGTAAGTAACCTGTGGACTCTACCTTAAAGTTTAAACTATTTTATTCTCTGATTTAAAAAAAAAAGATATTTTTCATTTGTCATTTCTGACTTTCTTTAAAAACATATCCCTTCAGTCAGGGATGTGTAGCAGCCTTTTTTTCCCCTCCTTCCTACAGAACCACATTCTCACCACACTCTGGAGCAGCCTGGGCCTGGACATGGACACTCCCACAGTGGTGAGGAAGAGGAGATGGGTAGAGGAGTTGGAGTTCTGGGAAAAGTCTGTCTCTTATTCTTTGCCTCCTTGAGAAGAAATCTGGAATCCACAATTCCCTTAATGTCTCAATGCTTCTGTTCCCAGGCCAGGGCCCTATTCTCTCTGTGGGGCTATGGGTACTCAGTGGAATTGTAGCCTTCCTTGTGGTAGAGAAGTTTGTGAGACATGTAAAAGGAGGACATGGACACAGTCATGGACATGGCAGTCATGGGCATGGAAGTCATGGTAAGCCTAGGAGCCCTTTGGCTGAAAGCCACTTTGCCTGCCCCAGAAAGCACTCATAGCATCCCTTGAGAATATGGCAAGAGATCCCTGACCCTACCTCTAACCAACCCCTTCTTTCCCTTAGAGTGTTCTTCAAAGGAGAAGACCAGCTCAGAGGAAGAAGAAAAGGAAAACAAGGAAAGAGGGGGCTTGCGAAAGAGGAAAAAAGGGAGCATAGAGCCCAAAGATGGGCAAGTAAAATCTCAGAACCCTGAAGAAAAAACAGGCTCAGGTAGGGGAACAGGGTTAGGGATAAGTTTGGGCAAGGGCTATCACTGAATTGCATATAATATGTACGGTGGGTAATGACAGATGTCTGGGAAACACTAAAAGGCTCTATGTAAAGTGGTCCCTGAGAGGAAATAGGAGAATGGCTGATCAGAATGGGGTGGAGGTGATAGATGCCTATTATCATTTTGTCCTCTTTTTCCTGTATAAGACCTGCGTGTGTCCGGGTACTTGAATCTGGCTGCTGACTTGGCACACAACTTCACGGATGGTCTGGCCATTGGTGCTTCCTTTCGAGCGGGCAGAGGACTTGGGATCCTGACCACAATGACTGTCTTGTTACATGAAGTGCCCCATGAGATTGGAGACTTTGCCATCTTGGTGCAGTCTGGCTGCAGCAAAAAACAGGTTGGCATTAATATAAATGTAGTTGCTTCCAACCTTCTGTGCCTGCTCACTTATCCAAAACCCAAAATGTCTCTCAATAGTTTCAAACGCTTAGTACTTCTTCCAGCAACAAGTCCTCTAGAAGTGAGGACAAATAGTATCTTTTTTGTCCTGTATTTCTTGAACTTCGGTACGCATGTGCACGTTTGCAGACACATACGCTGCTATATCAAGATCCACAGAACTTCTTTGATCCCTTAGAATTGTCAGGAGCTAGGCACTAGTGGCCTGGGCCTGTAAGCCCAGCTACTCAGGAGGCTGAGATCTGAGGTTCAAAGCTAGAGCCTGGGCAGAACAGTTCTTATGAGACTCTTATCTCCAATTAACCACTCAAAAACCAGAAGTGGAGCTGTGGCTAAAAGTGGTAGAGTGCTAGCCCTGTGCAAAAGAGCTCAGGGACAGTGCCCAGGCCCTAAGTTCAAGTCCCACAACTGCCAAAAAGAATTTATTTTTCAGGAAATGTCTATTCTAGAGCCCTGCTGTCTTTCCCTAGCTTTTTAGTCTCCAAAATCATGGACGTTACACCTATACAACTATACCCCACCCATCACATAAGCCACTGATAATCTTTAGCTGTTGGTGAGTGCCCTCTCTCTCTCTTTCTGCCCACTAGGCAATGCGTCTACAATTGCTGACAGCAATAGGAGCGCTGGCAGGCACGGCTTGTGCTCTGCTCACTGAAGGAGGAGCAGTGGGCAGTGAAGTTGCAAGTGGTGCAGGTCCTGGCTGGGTTCTGCCCTTCACTGCAGGTGGCTTTATCTATGTAGCAACTGTATCTGTGTTGCCTGAGCTGTTGAGGGAAGCATCACCATTACAGTCACTTCTGGAGGTGCTGGGGCTTCTGGGAGGAGTTGTTATGATGGTTGTGATTGCCCACTTTGAGTGAGCAATCGAGTGAGAGGGGGAATAAGCCCCCTACCCCTGCCCTAAGCCTCTACCCCTATCTCTAAGTCAGGGGTCTATGGCAGTTGGGGGCCCTGTCTTTGGCATTGAGGCCTTCAACGTTTGGCAGTCTTAAAAGAAGCTGTAGAGGTGAGGAGAGGCCAGAGGGACCAAAGTGTTGGGCATTACACAACCATATTGTTGGTTTGGAAAGGATAGATGGGACAGTGAAGGCTGAAATAAAAGTAGCCTACCTGATGCCCTCTACCCCACTTATTCTCAGAGGACCAAGCTGCCACACACAGGCTCTCCAAGATCCATCCCCCACTCCCACCGGTTAGTCAAGGCTTCTGGGAAAGAGGAGCCGGGGGTAAACATCAAAACATCAATCGTGTGTCCCGATTTGGGAGTGATTGGGGGTGGGCATGGGAAGGGGTTAGTAATCTCATGGCCTGATTTTTTTGTTTGTTTCTATTCATTTTATATCACTGTTTGAATTGAAGGGGAGGGGGGGTGCCCGGAAATAAAGTCCTTGGATCTTCCGCCCTGTATGCAGTCTTTGTCTTTTTTGGGGAAATAGGGCCCCTTTTCTCCCACACCCTAAGTCCCAAAGCTCCTGCGTGCAACCACGCCCCCGCGGTGGGAGGTCCGCCAGCGCTGGTGGCCGCAGTCGGCCTATGGCTGGTCCCGCTTTGATTGGCTCTGGCCACGCCTCCCCTGAGCTCCTATTGGCTGCGGCCTCGGGGTCCGCCCTCTCCCACCTCGCCATGGCGTCTCAGCTCCGGCTTGGCTCTGCGCTGGCTTTGGTCACAGGTTGAGGGGTCCTCTCCCAAGGTGGGGTGGGGTACTTTGAAGTGATGTCAACGGATATGCTCACAGACCTCGAAAGGCCTGTGATCTCTGACCCCTTGTCCAAATTTTAGTAACTTTGCGCTGCGCGACCTCTGACCCGGTCCGCTGCTCTCCCCCGACCCCGCGTGTTCTCTGTCTCAGGTGCGGGTAGCGGCATTGGCCGCGCGGTCAGCGTGCGCCTGGCCCGGGAGGGGGCCGCCGTGGCCGCCTGCGATCTGGACCAGGCAGCGGCCAGGGAGACCGTGGGACTGCTAGGAGGACCGGGAAGTGAGAAGGGGGCGCCCGGCGGGAACCACACTGCCTTCCAGGCTGACGTGTCTGAGACCACGAGTGCCAGGCGCCTGCTAGAGCAAGTGCAGGTGAACCCGGCAGCCTGGCTCCTTGCTCGCTGGGAGCTCTACCAGGCCTCACTCCCCCTGGCTCTTTGTGGCGTCGTGGTGTGTAACCTCCCCCTCCCTCCCATAGGCCTGCTTTTCTCGCCCGCCATCTGTCGTCGTGTCCTGTGCAGGCATCACCCGGGATGAGTTTCTACTCCGCATGTCTGAAGATGACTGGGACAAAGTCATAGCTGTCAACCTCAAGGTGGTGACTTCTGAACTTGACTTCTGCTTCCCACCAGCCTGGGGAGGGACTTGGAGGGCTGTCATCCCAGCTGATCTGTTTTTACCTTCTTGCCCTCTTTTGCCAGGGCATCTTTTTAGTCACTCAGGCTGCAGCCCAAGCCTTGGTGTCCAGTGGTTGCCATGGCTCCATCATCAACATCAGTAGCATCATTGCAAAGGTTAGGTGGAGCTGGGACCTGGTCAGCCAGGCAAGTGGGCACAGGGAGAAAAGTCAATCCTTGAGACTCCTGACTCCACATCTCTAACTCACCTGTAGGTGGGGAACATAGGGCAGACAAACTATGCTGCGTCCAAGGCAGGAGTGGTAGGGCTGACCCAGTCCGCAGCCCGGGAACTCGGACGGTGGGTACCCACCTGAGCTTACCGGAGTATCTTTCGCGCAGTGGTCTGAGGGAGGGGTCGGTGTCCTCTCCAGAGTGAGTAACCACTCTCCCTTCCACAGATATGGGATCCGCTGTAACTCTGTCCTCCCAGGATTCATTACAACACCTATGACACAGAAAATACCACAGAAAGTAAAGGACAAGGTAGGGTACTGTAAGTGCAAGGCAGAATGGGTCAGAGACCCAACCTCTCTGAGCCTGAGAGAGAGAGAATACCAGGGGTAAAGCTAGCATTCGATAAGTGTTCAATAAATATATGAAGGAAAAAGACAAAAGAAAAAGTAACTGACTCAGTCTTTAAAAAAAAGAATTCCATGGAAGAAACTTGCACTCAGTGTTTCCTGACAGGTGAATGGAATAATCCCAATGGGACACTTCGGGAATCCTGAGGGTGAGCACCAAGTGGTGAGGGGCCAAATGAAGAGATCCTCAAATTTGTGGTTTGAGAGGCTCTCACCAGGATTTGGGGCTGGCAGTTGTATTTGGGGCTGGGGGGAATATGGCTACCTTGGGTCTGTGGGAAGTGGGTGCCTACTCCTTATCATTCACACCATTCCCTTAGATGTGGCAAATGTGGTTGCATTCTTGGCATCTGAAGACAGCGGATACATCACAGGGGCCTCCGTGGAAGTCTCTGGTATGAGGCCATTGTAGGGAGAGCAAGAGGGCAGAGAAGTGGAACCCAGACCATATTTTTAAAAGCAAATAAGGGGAGTCTGGAGCAACCGAGAAGGGCAGAGGTGTCCTCAGCCAGGGACAGATCTGGGTACTCCCCCTCAGCCATGTACTTCTCTACCCATGCCGCTATCCAAATGTTTCTTCCCTTCCCAGGAGGGCTTTTCATGTAACTGCTTCAAGGACCCTGGACTCTGCTCACTCCCCCACCACTGTGCCTGGCCTCCTGCTGATGAGGACGCTAAGTTCCCAGGCTACAAAAGGGGTGGCAGTGTATGGCTGGGGAATGCTGAATATGGGAGGCAGGGGTGCTTGTGACCCTAATAAATTCCAAATCCTCTTCCCTGCCACCTCCGGTTCTTCTTGTGTCCAAACCCTCAGACCCTTCCCCACCTCCCCCCTCTCTCCCTTTCCCGAAGGATTGTTCCCTTTCACTGCCTGGTCTCCCAGGGCAACCCCCGCCGCCGGGTGTGAGAGGAAAGAGTGTATGTCACTGTGTATGCCTGACACTCTGGGTCTTTTTGGAGGAAGGGGTTTCTGCCCCACCCCACCCCCCTCCACTGGTTCTGCAGTGCCGGTCCCCGGTCCCCTTCCCCCCAACTGCTTGGGTCCTTATGGCCCCCAAGGGTGGTTTGTTCTTAGCCCCATCCTGGTGTCCAGTCTGGTCTTAGAAGGGGGTCTTGGAACAGGTGGCCCTCCCCCACCCTCTCCTTTCAGTTCCCCCTCCCCTTTCTCTCCACCTTACAATAGCTGCAGCCGGCCTGGGGTCGGATGGGGGGGATTAGGGGAGGGGGCCAGGATTAGGGGAATGGACCAGCCGATGAAAGGGGCTGGAGGAGAGCAGAAGGGAGGGGGGCTGGGAGGAGGAGGAAGGGGAGGGGGTCCGCGCTAATCGACACTGGCGCCCACATAAGGACTGGCCACGGACTGAAGAAGACAGGGAAGTAGGGGGGAACTGGGGTGGGAGGAGAAGGGACCCACTGCTGACTTGTCCCGGAGAGAGGCCACCCCCTGGCAGCCATAGCCCAAGTCCGGAAGCCCCCGTTCAGGCTGGTGGGGACAGAAGGCCGGGCACGATCTCTTCTTTCCCTGGATGCCTTGTAATCCCTTGCCCTCAATGGGGATCGCCGGGCTCCTTCCTCTCCTCTCTCCTCTCTGCTCTCTTCCGCTACTCCAGAGTCCTGAAGAGGCTTCTGTCCACTTTCCACGCCAGACATCCCGCCCCGTGTGTCCCCCACTCACGCGCACGGCCCCCGTCCCCATTGGGGGCCCCATCTTGTGCGTGTGTCCCCGCTTCCGCGTGGTGTCTCCATTCCCCGTCCTCCCGCGCGCCTCCCTCCCCCGCCCGGGCCGCGGCTCTTGATTGTCCAAACGCAATTCTCGAGTCTATGGCTCCGGCCGAGAGTTGGGTCTGGACGTCCCGAGCCGCCGCCCCCAAACCTCGAGGGGAGAGGGGGTCGGAGGGCCCAGGGAGAGGCGAAGCGGAGGACGGCACGGGGTCCCGCGGCGGTGCGGGGAGCCCCGGGGCACTTCGGCACCCGGTGGCATTCGGGGGACCCGAGGGTTCAAGTGGCCGGCGACCTTTTGCCGCTTTCTTTTCCCCCTCCCCACCCGCGATCGCAGGCTGGGGCTGAGGGAGCCGGGTGAGGGCGAGACCCCCAAGGCCGTAAGGGACGCCGACGGGGAGGTGGCCCGTTCCCGGGGTACCCCGTCCCCCCCCCGGGGTCCCCCGATGCCGGGCCCCGCCCTCCGGAGCGGAGGCCGGGGGTGAGCCCGGGGCATGGGGGTGGAGGGGGGCTGGCCGCGGGGCAGTGCTCGCCGGGCGCCGAGACCGCGGTCCCCACGCGGGCCGGGATCGCGGGGCGCCGGCTCCTCGGCGGGGCCCGTGCGTCTCCGGGGCGGGGGAGCCCCGGCGTCCACGTCGCAGCCACCCGCGCCGTGAGTGGCGGGTGACGTCCCGGCGGGGGGAGGGGCGGGCGGAAGTGACGTCGGCTCGGGCCCGGCCATGGCGGCGGCGGCGGCGGCGGCGGCGGGAGCTACTGTCTGAGCAGAATCGGCGGGCCGAGCCGAGTCGGCCCCGGAGCCTGGGCCTAGAAGAGGCGCGGCGGCGGCTGCGGCGCGGGCGCGGACGGCCGGAGCTGGGTGAGGGGCCGCACCGGCGCGGGGCGGGGGCGCAGAGGGGAGCCGCGAGGGGCGGGGTCTGCTCGAGAGGCGGCCCCCCAACACCGCCTCCCGTTCCCCCTCCCCAGCCTTAGTCTCCTCGGCGGCGGAGCCCCGGTGGGGGGTCTGTGCCTGGTCGCCATGACGACGCCGGCGAATGCCCAGAATGCGAGCAAAACGTGGGAACTGAGCCTGTATGAGCTGCATCGGACCCCGCAGGTGACAGGGGCTCTCCCGTCCCGGCTCACCCCCCTCCCGCCAAACCCCGAGCCACACACCCCGCCACACAGCTCCCTTTCCATTCTTTGCTCGATTCTGCAGACCACCCCCACACACACACACACACCTACCTTTGAATCACCTTCATCTTTTTAAAGCACTTTCACATTTATCTCGTCTAATCTCCTTTGATCCTCAAAACAGCCATTCCAAGAGAGGAGGATCAAATATTACTCTTTAATGGAAAGATGGCAAACAGACAGCGAAAATGACCAGCATTGTCCCTCCGTTCAATGTTATGGGTCGGTGTTTACAAAACTCCCCTTGGATTGTTTGTTTAAAGGGAAATTTCAGACCTCTTATCCCAATACCCTGATTCAGTAGTGTGTAGCGAGACCTCAGAAGCTGCGTTTGTAACAGGCACCCTAGAGTTCTGATGTAGGTAGCAAGAAGATCACACTTTTAGAAAATTCTAATGAGTTCTCCAAACCACAGATCTGCCATACCAACCCCCCCCCCCTTAAGAGGCTTCCCACCAAACCAAACCTCAGAACCTCAGATCCTCCTATTCCAGAGCTCCTGCTCTTTTTTCTTTTTCCTCTCTCTCTCTCCCCCTCCCTCTTCCTCTTCCTCCCT